GCTTATCGGGCCTTATGCGTAAGCCTAGCAGACAAAATTGCGCATACGCAGAGTGAGCCGCGGCTAAGCCGCTTTAAAAGCCGGGCCCAGCCACCTTTAAAAACACATTACGAAATTGCGTATACGACGCATTGACAAATGAGGCGCGGAGCCAACATTACGTATACTTAATATTGCGCATACGCTGTGCAAACAGACAAACCGACCAAGCAATAAAAAATAATTACAAAAATAAAGCATAAAAACAGCAGCAAGAACAACAACAAATACCACAACAACAACAACAAACACCACAACGATATAAACGAATCAGTTTTAATTATAAAGCAAGAACTGCAGCTGGCCTGCGACTTTGCCGTAGAGGAGAAGCGACAGGATAAAGGCATACAAAATGATTTATTTATACACTGCGTATACGTAACATTGCGACGATACAACTGCCACGAGAGATTGCGTACACGTGGCAGAGAATATTATAATGCCTCGAGCTTTTATACCCTTGCTATGGCGATGATAATTTAAATAAGCGATGTGTGACTCATTAAAAGTGACATTTCTTAAATCATTTAGTATATATTTCTTATATATGCCTCACGTTCGTACTGGATGTCGAATTAATAGACTTATTCTATAGATTTCAGCAATATATAATGCTTGTTGCTTTTGTTTTAACATTTAACTCGAGCAAACTGAACTGTTACAAATTTAATTTAATCGAATCACTTAATCCCTTTGGCGTATTTTTTTTTAAAGCGTATTTGATCTTTTGCAACCCCCAGATAACTGCTACTCTTTATACCCTGTGCCTGTGGAAAACGGGTGAGAGGGTATAATGATGTTGAGCAGAGCTTAGCTAGCTATGTCCGCCTGTCTGCCTCGTTTTTCTATTTACTGTATTCGCCATTTACTGAAAATCGATAAATATCGATTACGAGCCACAGCTTTAAGTATTTAGCATAAACTTATGTAAAGAACTTTCTGTTGCCTTATTTGTAACCAATTTTTAAGCTGTCAGTATAAATGGAAGTTATTTGCTGACCTCGTCATTTACCATAAATCGATAAATATCGTTTTCTGGCCATTGCTTTTATTATTTAGCCTACACTAATGTATAGAACTTACTTTATCCTTATTTGTGTTTGTGTATACACACATTTGAATCCAAATGTTAAGCGATCAGTTTTAAATTAAGCTTTTTGGTGTCTCGCCTTTTACCAAAAATCGATAAATATCGACTTCGAGCCAAAGTTTTAAGTATTCAGCCTACACTAATGTAAAGAACATTCCGTTGCCTTAATTGTTGGCATATACACACATTTGACACCAATTTTTAAGCGGACAGCTTAAGAGGAAGCTATCTGCATTCTTCACCCTTTACCCAAAATCGATAAATATCGATTTTGAGCTATAGCTTAGCTATAGCATAATATAAAGAACTTTTCTTTGCCTTATTTGACGGTAAATGCACAGATTTGAAACTAATTTTCAAGAAGAAATTGAATTACTGTCCATCGATAAATATCGATTCCGAGCTGCAGGTTTAGGTATTCCGTTGTCTTATTCGTCGGCATATGCACACGTTTCAAACAAATTTGTAACAGGACAGTTTAATAGGAGTTTATTTTAAAATTAAGTTATGAACAGGATATTTTCTAGTCGCGAACTCTCGCTGTATTGCTTGCTGTTCATTTCAATTTGGAAATTATTGTGAAGAGTTTTGTGTGCTATCCGTTGATGCGACTGTCTGTAAAATCTCGCTCAGCTCCACCTAGTTTGCCTATTAGATGTGCGCTGCTCGCTTTCATGGCTCCCAGCTCTGGCTTTGGCTGTCTGTCAGTCATTAGTACATTTAATAGAGCTGACATGCTGGAGCCATGGCAACAACATGTGTCTTTTTTGAATGGCATCTGTTATGTGCGCGCACACACGCACACACACCCACACACACACACACACACACACCCACACAACTCAACTGGGGCGCGCAAGTGCATTTCGTTGTACAACAGTTGAATTAATTGTTTGCAAATGATTTTGCAGGCAAGTCAAAAGCACAAGTAAGACAAACAGGCACTGGGCGTGACAGTTTCATGCCAAATCCAAGCCAGAGCCGGGCTAAGCCCGGCCCGTTTAATGGCAGGCCACAAATTAAATTTCATGCCCGCCACCACACAGCTGAGCGCATTTTGTCAATTTGAAATACCTGTACAATTTTGTCGATTCGAGTCTGCGAAATCTGCGCAGATGTCAAAAGGGATAATGAGCCGCCCGTCGCCCGTCGCTGGGTGGCCAGGACACCAGGAAGCCGTTTCGGTTAGCCGCTGGGAAGCTCCTCCGGCTCCGGGTTAGGCATTTGCCAGCGCGGAAAATCAGCTTAGGCTGTGCATAACATTTGAATATACTTACTTCTATATATATATATATACACATTATATACCTTTCTCTCTTCACTTGGGCTGGTTTAAAAATTGACAATTGGTGGATGAATTGATTTTTTTTCGCCCCCTTATATATATTTTTTGTTTAAAGATGATGAAAAAGTGGCACAGCTTATGGCGTCGTCTCAGCAGGTTTATTTAAAATTTCACAAGTAATATTTTGAGCTTATTATGATTATATTAGAAATTTAAATTTGCCCTGCTTAAATGATTTTTATATGATATTACACTGCGAAAAATTACTTATGCTGGGAACTCCATCAGAATATGTACAATTTATTTGCAATTTCTTTAGAAAATGTTGTTAGCTTAAACTATTTAGGCAAATGGTTATTTTATATATTGTCGAACCTTCACATGATTATGGCTTAGCCTGGGCGGCATTTGAAAAATGAATGACAATTTGGGATTCTTAATTGCTTTAGAGAGTGCCTGCAATATGGTATGTGAAATGTGGATATGTGAGGAGAGGGATATAATTATATCGTGAACCCATTGAAAATGGGTAAAAGGGTATTATCTATTTGTGCATCTTTGCACGTCCGTCTGTCCGCCCGTCCGCATGTATGAACGCAAGAATCTCAGAACCTATAAGAGCTAAAGAAATTTTAGCTGTAGGTCCTCCTAGTGCCCGCGCACATTTGTTTCCGATATTCGATAACTTGCCCCGTTTCCAAGTAATCGATAAAAATCGATATCGAAATCCTGTTTTTTGAGAAATTTCGGCAAATAATATGAGCTAGAGTCACCAAACTTGACATGTAGTTTCTAGAATAGTATATATATATATATCAAGTATCTTTCATTTTATACCTATCGCCGGTTGGAAGAAGAGGGTTTAGGGTATCCCCTAGTCGGGAGCTCCCGACTAGAACCTCTTACTTGTTTTGTATTAAATTGAACCAAAAAAGAGAGAAAGTCTCAACTGAGTTTTACATAAAGTTTATTGTCGGTATATGTGGTAGATAATTTATATATACTATCAAGAACAAGTAAGAGTTCTTGCACTTTTCTGGGCATTAATATGGCATACAATTGTGTGTAAGGAGGATTAGTTTAAAATTTCAAGATTATCCATAAATATTGGAAAGTTTCTTCCTCTCCAGCAAAATGAATGGTATAGACAATCGATTAAAGCGCTGCAAAAACCGAAATATATTTTTAAATTGAAACTAGTTTTGTATATTTGGCGCAAAAAAAAGAGCCGCACTCAAATTGGCAATAGAAATAAGCTAAAGTGCAACTAAATATTGACAGTAAAAAAATAACAAAATATTTTTTGGATGACCTGTTGACCGTTGGCAAAACAAAACAAAACAATTAAAAGGCAAATTTTCGATTGTCGTGAGCGCCATGAATATTCATGAAGTGCTGCGCGACGAATTTAATAATTGAATAGCTTGAATATAAATGCGGCCACAAATGGCCAACAGTTCACCAGCCAGCCAGTCAGTCGGCCAGCCAGTCGGCCAGTCAGTTGGCCAGTTGGCCAGCTCGAGGTTTGTTTTAACCGTCTGGCGGCGCCAGTAAGCCGAAAGTACACAGCATTCACAGTTGGGTCTATGGCAGCCTGCCCCCCTGGGCATGTCTAAATTAACAAATGAATTATTTAGTGCGAACACTTTCGTGGGCAATGCTTGGATTTACAACAATGCGAATTAGGTGCGAATGTGTTCCGGCCGGCGGAGGAGGATTACCCTAAATGCGAAACTATGTAATTTGGTTAAAAGCGTTCCCACCCAAAATACATTCCGCCCCACGTATAATGGACTTTTCATTAAAGTTCCGGTGTCCCTTAAAGCACCATAAACATTTCGACTGACTTTCAATTGTTGCAGATTTAGCCAGAAATGAATTTTTGGCCAAGTCAAGCAGCTAGCTGCACACCTGTGCCACAGTGAAGCCATGTCCAAGCTAGAGATTGCCGCGTACCTCAACACGAGCACGAAGTTCAATTTTTGAACAAATTTTACCAAGGCACAGCGCAGCATAGACCAAATGATTGACTGCAATTTTCATTGTTTTTTATTTTATTTGTGTATAAAGCAAACAAGGCTAAAGATTATTTAATATAAAAGTTGTAAAAAAAAACATTTATAATTTCTTTATAAATGTGGCCTCAGGTTGAAAAAATTCGCTCGGTAGAGATTTAGAGTATTTGCTTTGTTAATTCAAGTTCTTGTTTTTTTTAGTTTATTTGTGTATAAAGAGAAGAAGGCTTAAGATTATTAAATATGATGGGTTAAAAGAAAAAAAAATTATTATTTCTGTATGAATGTTGCCTTGGGTTGAAAAAATCTGTTCGGTAGAGATTTAGAGTATTTGCTTGGCTTATGTCTGCCGAAATTTGAAAATATTCAAGTTCTTCTTGGTTTTATTATTTTATTTTATTTGTGTATAAAGCAAACAAGTCTAGATTATTTAATATGAAAAAAAAAAAACAAACAATTACAATTTCTTTATGAATGTGGCCTCAGGTTGAAAAAATCCGCTCGATAGAGATGTAGAGTATTTGCTTGGTTAATACACGCCGAAATTTTGGAAAATTTTTAAGTTCTTCACTTTGTTGATATAGGAATTTCTGGATGTGCTTTTATTCGATTTTTACTTTACAATTTCTATATTTTTGCGATCTATCGACTGGCTGATTGCAAATCATGGTTTTGTCTTCACTGTAGTCTGACTTTGTTGATCGCACTCTTTGCGTGTTGCCCTTCTACACGACCATCGTCCCACGGCCAATGCCCACCACCAGTCAGCTTTTGGCTGCATTCACACGCTCAGCCATTGTGCTCTCTGTTCGTCTGTCTGTTTGTCAGTGTGTCGCATCAGATTTGCTCAGTTTTACGACTGTTTTTGCTCGACACGCAGCGCACTGCGCTGTTTTTTTTTTTTTTTTTTTGTATAAGAATTTAATACAACATATGAAGGCAACTGGCAACTGGCAACGTGCAACTCGTTCTGCCCCAGATTGATGTCTGCTCCGACTGTTGGCCAGTTGCCGCATACGTTAAACCCATGAGTTTTCCACACATTTCTTTGCTGCTGGCATCGAGTAACGAAAACCAGAAAAAAAAAACAATTTAAGCTTTGGCTTTAAATGCCGTACGTACGGGTCGGGATCTACGATCAGTTATTCAATTATGTTTTGAAAGCAGAACCGCCAAATATAGCGGAAAATACGCTAAGGAATATCAACATGGCTAGGGCAGGCCCAATACCGCCCAGCAGCTGTGGATATTTGAAATGTAGATAAAAATGGGTATTAAAAAAATATCATGACTACTCACAAACTGAAAGGGTCGGATATTACCCCAGCCGGAGATAATGGTGTTGGATGTGGTGCTGACGGGCAGCAGGAATTGATTGTGAAGAGAGGCTGCAAATGGAACGGCCAGGCCGCCCCTACCAACGCCCATTCCTACGCCCTGTTCAATACGATTTTCAATTAAGCAATTAACCTTAATGCTAGAGATTACCCACCGATGTGACCAGGGAGCCCAAGACAGTGTGTGCCACGTGCGTTGCCGGCGCGATGCTGGTGAGCAGGGTGCCCATCAGGCTGGCCAGCACGGCGCAGGTGGAGCTGCGATAGCCCTGTCTGGCGATCGTCTGATTCACCAAATCCATCAGCTTTGAATCATTGTAGCCGGTCATAAAGCCACGGCCGGCGCCCATCATGAATAGATGTGCCCACGGCGTGTTCGTGTTCACAATCTTCCAGCCGACCAGAGCGGGAGCCGTCATCTCCTTATCCGGCTTCCGGCAGCAGTAATAGCGACAGAATATATAGTTTGCCGGCACACCAAAAAAGAAAATTGCCATTATTACAATCGCCACCGAGCAGCCGCAATCGGCCCTAGGGATTATGTCGTGCCAGCCCATCCAAAGGAGCGGTTGTCGTGTGAACAATAAGATGGCCGTAATTATGATCAGCAGCAAGGTGAGCATCGTGTGAATGGTCCAGGGTCCCATGGTGTCCTTCTTGTTGGCGATGGTCTGTTGCATTGCATCCTTGGACTGGCCGGCTTCCCTAACCAAGTCTTTCGTTGGGCCCCAAAACAGACCCAAAAATATCATGTTTATCCAAAGTGCAATCACAATTAAGCCGAATATCAATGGAACAATATACAAAAGTAGGAAGCCAGCCGGATTCACAGTCATAAAACTAAAACAAAATATTATATATATACATATATATATTATAAGCCGGGTAACACTTGAATGTGCATTTTACTCACGGCGTTAGGATAGCATAGATCTCTCCGTTGGGATCCTGAAAGGGTGATATCATGGCGCCAAGTGTCGCTGCATAGGCAACTGTTAGATAAATACCAATTGCCGGATCCGAAGGATATGGCTTGCTAAACAAAAAAAATTACTTAGTTATATGTCGAAATTTTCAAATAGCCAATCGATTGACTCACGCCTGACGCTCGTAGGTCTCCTCCTCCGTGTCTGCCACCAATAATCCGGCCTGTAATGAACTTGAGCTATGAGCAATTATTATTCGAACAATACTTACCGTGGTATATTCGAGAATCACAGCCTGCGCGATCTTCATCCAGAAAGCACTCACAAATGTGCTGCTGACAAAAAACGATGTGAAGGCCGTCATAATCATCAAGAAAATTTGAAGTCTGCAAATGAGATTATTTCAATGAGTTTTACAATGCAAAGTATTGAAGGCAAAAATTTCTCCCTGCTGCTATGCTTATATATATATATTTTTAACCCAGGCTGTATTTTTGTTAAATCGTATTTGATTGATGAACGTCGAGTATAAGTTTTATTGAACCGGATTTCAAAATTATTGCGCAAGGAATTTAACTTAATTCCATTATTATTTTAACTGACACCAAAAAAAAATTCAATCAGCTTGGACTTACAATAAGACAGACAGTCAATCAATATATTTTTTATATATATAGAAATATATTTTTGACCCAGGCTGTATTTTTCGATATTCGATCGGATTTGACTGATGAACATTGATTAGAAGTTTTATTACTTAACTTAACTCCATTATTGTTTTAACTGACGCCAAAAAAAGAAAATACACTACTCTGCACGCTTATCATCAATCAGTCAATCAGTTTGGACTTACAATCAGTCAGTCTGTCAGACAGTCAATCAATAGAAACAATAATTAGAAATATAGTTATGGATGCTAAAATTTATCTGTCGATCAGTTGAAAGTGAATATTAATTGCACTCACTAACAACAATCAGTTAGTCAGTGATTCAGTCGGTCAATCAGATTATATATATGTGTATATATATAAAAATATATATGACCCAGGCTGTATTTTTCGATATTCGATCGTAGTTGATTGATGAACATTGATTAGAAGTTTTATTGAACCGCATTCCAAAAATATTGCGAAGGGAACTTAACTACATTATTGTTTTAACTTATCATCAATCAGTCAATCAGTTTGGACTTACAATCAGTCAGTCTGTCAGACAGTCAATCAATAGAAACAATAATTAGAAATATAGTTATGGATGCTAAAATTTATCTGTCGATCAGTTGAAAGTGAATATTAATTGCACTCACTAACAACAATCAGTTAGTCAGTGATTCAGTCGGTCAATCAGAATATATGTATGTGTATATATATTAATATATAAAAGAACTCTCTCCCGGAATACATACATTCGCAAATTGCTGCCAACATAACCGATCACTAGCATGCCCAGCCGCTCGCTAAGCTTCGAGACGTCCATCATAATGCCCATAAATATGCTGCCCATTGTTGCGAACATTAGATCCGAGTAATAGGATACGCAAATAATTCTGGATGCCTGAAAGCAAATGTTTAGTTAGACAATATCTGCCAGTGTCTCAGTTTTATTCAAGCGGCTTACCGAGATACCACAGATGGGCACAAAAACAATAAAAAGGAACGCTATTGCCCCCTGCGACATGACATTGAATATATAATACAGATAGGTTACAATGCCGATGTATAACATGCGGTAAGCCTGTTTAATACAAAAATTGAATATCAGATATTGAGCACATGCAAATATTAAACAGACAGCTTACCAAAACTTGGGGGCCGAGAAGAATGGGAGCAAACAATATGGGTAACAGCACTATCAGGACTCCCTTGTAGTGGTACTTAAAAAACTGTTTCCGTTCATTCTCCTCCGGATATGGCAACTGTCCCGGTTTATAGTCTTCACTGTTTTATTCAAATAGGTATTAATGCTTTATGCAATGTGCCGCATTTTGAACTTACGCCATTTTTTATTTACTACTAGATAATTTAAAAAATTACAAATGTTAACAAATGAAAACTGTTTGATATCTGAGTGAGAAGTGTTTATTTCTTAAATACGAACTGTCATCTACTTTGACAACTTAATAAAATATAACTAGAGTATTGCAGAGAAAAAGATCTGTAGTCCCTGAGAGAACTTTTATCCAATTAATAATCTGCCAAAAATTATCATTGGCTATTTCCCAAACAACCTTAGATTCTTTAAAAGTTAACCCAGGCCGTCATATACCATATATCATATATCATATATCATATATCATATATCATATATCATATATCATATATCATATATCATATATCATATATCATATATCATATATCATATATCATATATCATATATCATATATCATATATCATATATCATATATCATATATCATATATCATATATCATATATCATATATCATATATCATATATCATATATCATATATCATATATCATATATCATATATCATATATCATATATCATATATCATATATCATATATCATATATCATATATCATATATCATATATCATATATCATATATCATATATCATATATCATATATCATATATCATATATCATATATCATATATCATATATCATATATCATATATCATATATCATATATCATATATCATATATCATATATCATATATCATATATCATATATCATATATCATATATCATATATCATATATCATATATCGTATATTGTATATCGTTTATCATATATCATATATCATATTCCTGTCCCATAGGAACAATGGGTCTAAAATTAAGTTTTTATGTGAAAAACTTGTTCCTTCTGGACCGAATTCTACATTTATTAGATTCGCTTTGCGCCAGGCCAACGTCGGACTCGACTCTACTCTATATTATATAGTTGCCATAGTAATGAGTTTCATAATTCTCCTCACTTAGCTGCAAAACCATAAACCACATGTTCACAAGGGTATTAAAACTTTGGCAGTCCGAAAATGACAATTTTTTTGTGTGTTAATAAGCCAGCACTGCAAACTGTTTGACAATTTAACAATTTACATTCAAATACTTTTCAACAACATTTTATGCATAAACTGGCCTAATTTGGATTTAATAGCGCCTTATGTGAAGCTCCATCAAGCTGACTGACTCTGAAGCACTTCAGAAATATTAGGAAAACACCTGTTAGAAGTACACAGGCACCTGTGCAGTTCCATATACAGATCTACATATATGTAGATATTTATATATATTTACATAAAATATTTGCCCGAAAAACGACCTCTTATTAGCTGAACCTTTGACAGCAGGCCCAAAAGGAGGTCTATATGCATAGTACGAGCAGAAGTAGTACTTAAAATGAATATATGTATACACATCCATGTCTATGTATATGCATATTTATATAAATATATGCTTGTTAATATATTTGCATAAGCATAAATACGTGAGTGTGTGCGTTACGCACTTTTTAAGCTGCACGCTTTCAATTTTCCGGCCAATTGCTGAATACTCCAAATGAATGGCGCTCACGTACTCTCCAAGGAATCGGCAAACAGAAAAAAAATATAAAATAAATATGATTTGGCTAGCAAAATATTTGCTCCCCCTGCCAAAGCAAAAGATTCGCAAATTAAAATCCTCATCACTAAGCGTCGTTTCCAATATTAATATTAATAAAAAAAAAAAAGTAAAAGGAAAATGAAAATAAAATCAAAATAAAATTTCTGATTGGCAAATCCAAGTTGAATTTATTGGCATTTATTGCGAATTTTAGACATATTTAACTGCGTTCCTTGTGCAATATTTAATTATGTAAAAACATGGACGATATTAGCTGCACTTCTTAAATTTTTACCTGACTTTACTTTAATATACCTCAAGATTAAGTGACAATTGGTTTAATCAATCAATATGGATTATTTTTTTTCTTAAATAATATCGAATAACTTGAGATGGTTGTCTTTTTGGCTACATTAGGAACCTTTCGGTTAGATGATCTCCCTTTCGAAGCTTTAACTAGTTGAGAATTGTAAGTGTTATGCAACAGCAAATCGAACAAATCCCAGGTCCAACTGCTGTGCGTTTTACCCAGAGGCATACAACTGTGTAAGGGAAAGAGTTTGGAATTTTCGAAATATGAATAAGTGAACAAATTATGAAGATACATTTTTTATAATATATTTATGAATATTTGCTTCAATTTTTCATGCACTGAAACATTTTGTCCTTATATTAAAGAGAGACACGGAAAATACTAGAAATGTTTGCATCCTTTGCAAACCAGTTTTTTGTATTTTTCATTTGATAGGCTTTTAAGTTGCTTTTTCAAAAGTCCTTGTAAAAATTTACTGAATTTATCTTGCTTTAACTTCAACTGTGTTTTAAATCCTTACATTGAAAGTGATTGAATATATGAAGGTTTTGAATGGAGTTTTACTAGAATATTTTTCATGTTTGCTTGCTGCTTTCCATCAACATATTTTATTCACTTAAACTAATCTCTTACTGGTATATCTCCCAGCAGAAGATATCGGTTCTCGAGAGTTTGTTTTTATTAACTTGCAGAGAGTATTAAAATGTATTTTAGCGCTCGCATTTTATTTATTGCGCTGAAGCTGGGCCCAAGCATAATTATCTTAAGTTTGTGATTCAATTTTAGTGCTCGTAAATCGACAGCTGAGTGCTTATGATGTTGACACTGGCCAGGCAAGCAAGCAAGTACTTGGATAACTAGCACTATCCGAAGGGCTGAAGAGGCGATTGGCGATGGCGATGGCGATGTTGAGTCTTGAGCTATCTAACGCATGCTTATTGGCAAAGTTTTTCTAATAGCTGGCAACTTTTGTGGGTCAAGTTTTAAGCAGCGTTGCACAGCGACTGCACTTTGGCCAATAAAACTTTCGTCAGCAGCGCCGCGATGGATGCTGCAGCCAGTCTCTTGACGGGGGCAGAGAGATTGGGGGCATAAAGAACACGGTGCAACTTTGTAGGGCCACGTGGCGCGTAACAATGCGCAGTCGTTGGCAATTTTGCGTAACTGTTCGCCGTTCTGCTTCGTTAGGATCGGACCAGAACACAGCTGGGGCTGGGGCTGGGCCAGAAGCTCGAGCTAGGGCCTGGATAAAGCTGCATAAACTTTGCGCGCCAGCCAAAAACGGATGTCACTGCAGATAATGTTGCATCAAATGTTTTGGGTGGGACGCACGTGTGTCCGTCAGTCTGTCTGTCGTCCGTGCTGGCTGCCGTCTGTCAGCACCTGTACACCTGTGCAGCTGCATACCTGCACCGGCTCCTGTTCGTCTACCACTTTGTTGTGGGCAATCGGCAGTGAAATGCTTTCCCCTCTTTTTCAACCTTTGACCCCTGTCTGTCCTCTCTCTTGAAAAGTTTGCTGGCTCAACTTACCCTTAAACCAGGTGGTTGGCCGCATTTGTTGTTTTTGGCTTGGCTTGTGCTTCTGCAACATTTCCGTAACCATTCGGCATGCGGCAGCGTTAGATTTAATTTCAAATGCTAGTTTTCCACTTGAATTAATTCGCTGACTGCGCGGCGAATGTGAATCCATGCCGAGCAATTCAATTTAATTTGCTTGCAATAAATGAAAAATATTCGCGATTTTCATTGACAAAGAACTTGTCGATTTATACGTTGTGCAACACTGTTTCGATAAGAAAAGACACGCCATGACCTTGTACAGCACTGTTTCCATTAAAAGAGACATGCGATGAACTTGAATAGGAATTATTTATTAGATTATTTCGTCAAATAAAAATATATTATTTGTGCTTTGTACAACACTGTTTTGATAAGAAGACATGCTATGACCTTGTACAACACTGTTTCCATTAACGCAAACATGCAATGGACTTGTACGTTGTTAAGCGTGAATAACTTGCACTTAAATAGGAATTATTTATTAGATAATTTCGACAAATATATTATTTTTGCTTTGTGCAACACTGTTTCGAAGAAGACATGGACAACAAGCTCTTGCCGTGCAATAGTGTGCACCCATTATGAAAGATTATGTTTGATGATTGATGGGCAACTTATCAAGCTGAATTTCGTCTTGATTGTTGTCGCTCACATTTCAATCGGTAATCAATTAAAAAACCGCAATTTGTGTCTCAGCCAGTAACTGGTATTGGAATCAACTCAAGCACGTGTCGTATTTTCTGCACCTGGTAAAGCTCTCGATTTGTTGTTGTATGGAATGGAGGATATTCGACTTTCTGCTGCTGTTGTTGTTGTTGCGGCAAGTGATTGACGGCGTGGCTGGCGTTGATGGCCCCAGCGTAGGAGCATACAGAACATGAAAGGAAACAATGAAGGAACAACTACCACAATGGAACAACGCTAACAAACAACACACGGCATGACAGCAGTAATAACAACAACAACAACAACAACAACAACAATGACCAAACATGGCGCCCACAAACAAAAAGATGAAGCGCACGTAAAATGGCGCCGGATGTTGATTGACTTTTGTTGAACAATTTTTCGCATACGGAAGTTTGATAAACAGCAAATGGCGTTGTTTTGCCTTTGCCTTTATGCCCCTACACTCACACGCACACACGCACACACACACACACACACACACAAACACACACACATGAAATTTGCATATACGTTGCGTATACGCCGTGTTGATTTTGTCAAAAACATCAACACAAGTTCGAGAGTGTAAATCGTGGCATCATTTGTTGTTGCTCGGCTTTGATTAGGGTTCAGCCCCCGTCTGGCCTCTTCCGCAACCCTTTCGTAAGCTTGCAAAATAATTATATATAATAAGCCATAGAGTCGACGAGTTTTATGGCCAGACCAGTGTTTGGTTTAGTCAAGCAGTTGTCAAGTGTGTGCGCATGTGGCGTGGTTCTTAAGCCCTAAGCTGATTTTCCCCGTAAGCGTTAAAAGTCACAGATTTGCAATTTTTCTCGTGCTTCATTTTGTTGGGTACAATAGTTGCTATAGCTAATCCCATGTTCATGTGCTAGACACGTTTGCGGCAACGTCTGCCAAAGAGCTCCCAGCCCCACCAGCAGCGCTGCTGCGAGTCCATCAGCAGCTCTCCAGTCATCGTGAGCTCATCCTCCAGTATGTGGATGCAGCTGGTCTGCTCGTACTGCAGCTGGAGGCGCTGCAGTGTCCGGCAATAGGCCAACTTGTTTGGCTGACGCTGCAACTCCAGCTCCAACTCTTCTGTCCAGTTGCTGGACTCTGCCCAGACGCTAATCGGTAGCATTATAAAAAACTGGCCCAGCAGCAGCCAATACGCTTTGGTGCTCCGCATGGCGCAACTTCGCGGCAACAACTGAGGCCGGGGCGCGGCTCGCCTCGCCGACTCCAGCCGCAACTGCAGCAACTGTCGTTAAGCAGCTGTTTATTGCAAACTTATTTTATTCGCTCTGATTTGGTTGCATTTAATTGCAAATTCCCGCGACTGGCCTCAAATGGCACCCAAGGGGCCACGTGGGGAGCACGCGGCCCATAAAACTCGTTGCAAGTTTCTTGGCCAATTGTTCGACGCTTAAACCCCTGTTGTTCTACATAATTGGTTAAACATTTAACCAGCAATTAAATTGTGGCACCCCTGACTTTTTAAAGCTTGCGATATATTTCGTATTGGATTTACGAATTTTATTTAATAGATTTTCTAAGTTTTCTTATAGCATAACAATTAACAATAAATTAATAATACTTTTATCAAATTTAAACCATAAGCTGTTTCCCGGCCTTGCAAGTGCCAGGTTTTGTGGTTCAAATTTTAGATATAAGTTTTTATCCAATTTCCGCCCGCGCTAAATTTAAATTTACCCATACTGTCTAAAGCTATCTCTATATGTAAAACAGCTTGCCCTGACTGACTGACTGACTGACTTATTGGTGATCGACGCATAGCCCAAGCCGTAAGAGCTCGGAAATTTGCACTGAAGTTACCTTATGTGAAGAAGGTGGGAGATTAAGGCGGGGTTCCGGGAAATTCCACCCGCATGTGTGAAAAAATCGCGAAAAACGTTTGTATAAAACTCTTTTGTTTACCATTCGATCGGCCTCAAAATCATTTTCAAAGATCTTTGAGAGAATTTATTTAAAAAGTGCCACGGGCAAGGCCGGGGTATAAATTTCCCATCCGCATATACCTTGTCAAATCTCATCTGATTTTCACGAGGTTTGGCTATTTGTTCATTGTTTGGCCTCTACATCAATTTGGCATCTAAATTTCACAACATTATTTTTGGTCGGAATTCATGTAGAAATAGTACCCTGAAATACCCTAAATAGACATGGATAAAAATTTCCCATCCCCATAACTTGGTCAAATCTCATCCGATTTTCCCGAGGTTTGGATCTTTATTCATGGTGTGGCCTTTAAATCAATTTGTCATCTAAATCCTACATCAGTATTTTTGGTCGGAATTCATGTAGAAATGGTACCCTAAAATTCCCTATATAGACATGGATCAAAATTTCCCACCCCCATAACTTGGCCAAATCTCATCCGATTTTCCCGAGGTTTGGCTCTTTGTTCATGGTTTTGCCTCTTAATCAATTTTGCATCTAAATCTTACAACATTATTTTTGGTCAAAATTCATGTAGAAATGGTACCCTAAAATTCCCTATATAGACATGGGTCTAAACTTCCCATCCCCATAACTTGGTCAAATCTCATCCGATTTTCACGAGGTTTGGCTCTTTGTTCATGGTTTGGCCTCTAAATCAATTTGGCATCTAAATCTCACAACAATATTTTTGGTCGGAATTCATGTAGAAATGGTACCCTAAAATTCCCTATATAGACATGGGTCTAAACTTCCCATCCCCATAACTTGGTCAAATCTCATCCGATTTTCACGAGGTTTGGCTCTTTGTTCATGGTTTGGCCTCTAAATCAATTTGGCATCTAAATCTCACAACAATATTTTTAGTCGAAATTCATGTAAAAATGGCACCCTTATATACCTCATATAGAGGTGAGAACTTCCCATCCCCATTACTTGGTCAAATCTCATCCGATAGAAATGGAACCCTCAAATATCCTATATAGACATCTCATGCGATTTTCGTGAGGTTTGGCTCTTTGATTATTGATTTTATACGTACCCCGGGCAGGGCCGGGGTATACCCGCTAATATTTACATAAATGAGTTTGAGCCTCATTGAATGAAGAAAATAAAGTTGGAGAATGTGGTGAGAATATTGAACGCGAAAGAAAAAGCTTTCTCTCACCTAACTAGATTCAGGTTCAGTTTCCCACGATATCAGTCATCAAATCAATTGGAATAGAGATATTTTTGGGCATTTTTCTCATTGTCGTATTATGCTAAAATATGTAAAACGAGTCTTTTCAAGTACTTTTGCTCAATTCGCCAGAAAATTGAAAAGGAAATCAACTTAGTTCGTAAAAAAACAAAAATCTATTGGCTTCCTTATCTGAAGAAGCGCGGCTGGGGAACATTGTCAGCAGATAGGTTAACAAGCGAAGCGTTAGATAAGAGCAAGATAAGTTTAATTGAAATTGGAGACTGGCAAGCAGCGAGCAGCGTTGTTCGAACATAATTGAATTAAATAAAATTAAAAATTGTTAAGCGTCGTGTTGTTTTGTCGGGGAAATCGCGCATTTATCCATGCCCAATCTTGGCAACGTTCGCCGCGAAAGTCTTCGATCTATGGGACTATAAAAGACAGCGCCGGGCTGCAGAGTTCATTCAGTGTTTGTTTAACTATCAACCAGTTTACCAACAATTGTGAAATCAACATGTCTGGTGAGTAGCATGAGGATGCGACTTAGCTGGCGAGGATCACATCATCAATTGAATCTCAATGGCAGGCATGTATCTTTTGGCGAGCATCCTGTGCCTGGCTGTTGCCGGTAGCCTGGCGGATGTCATTCTGGAGGGCAATTACAATGTGACTGCCTTGTGTACCAGTGTCAAATATGGAGTTCAACTTGGCAGCCTCGAGTCCTGTGACTATTACTATGTCTGCACCTCCACTGGACCAGTGAAGACCAGTTGCCCGACGGGCTACTCCTACAACTATGCAGCACAAACTTGCGCTCCCTCGGCTCAGGTTGATTGCTTTTATGGCAAGGAGAATCCCTGTGCGGAAACTACCGGCGATAAATGGGTACCAGTTGCTGGCACCTGCAATCAATGGATCTACTGCAAGAACGGCGTTAACAGCGGCCAAGGCTCCTGTGGCACCTTGACCTTCGACCCGACCAGCCAGAGTTGCACCTATGGGGCCTGCAATATCTCGCCCGAAGCTGACATTAATTACTGCGCCGTGGTGCCACCAAATACCTATTTCGGCACCACATCTGATTGCAGGACATTTAACTACTGCTATTCAAGTACTAAACTTACTACAAACAAGTGCGAATTTGTAAGTTTCAGTCAATTTCAGTTGCAATAGCTCAATGAATTAATCTTTTGCTTGACTCTGTCCACTTGCAGGCATACCTTGTACAACAGACCGCCTGTGGCTACGACACTGGCAACAATTGCGACAGAGTGGTGCCCGACACAGTTCCCAATAGTTGTACCCAAGCCGGTGATATAATAGCTGATAATACAGTGTGTGGCAACTATTACTATTGCAATGGCCAAAACTATGTGTCGATGAGCTGTTCCACTGGCCAGTATTTTGATACTCTCACAAAGAAGTGTGTCGCACGCCAACAGGCACTCCCAGCTGCCGACTGCAATCGCTGTCAGTATGCCAGCCATCCGTTCGTGAATAACGTGAATACCGAAAGCTGCAACACCTACTACTACTGCTCGAATGGGTCCAACGGTACAGTCACGACCTGCCCCAGCGGCTACTACTTCAACGAGGATGAACAGAGCTGTGCCAGCACGGATGGCGTTGCGGCGTATGGTAAACAAAATGGTGCTTGTCATGGAGTTCAAACACCAGCCACAACAACAGCTGCGCCCACTAGCGGATCTTCCGATTCTGGTGAATCTTCCGATTCTAGCGAATCTTCCGATTCTACCGAATCTTCCGATTCTACCGAATCTTCCGATTCTACCGAATCTTCCGATTCTACCGAATCTTCCGATTCTACCGAATCTTCCGATTCTACCGAATCTAACAATTCTACCGATTCTGACGACTCTACAGAAACAGACGACTCTACAGAAACAGAATCAACCACAGAGAAGGTAGAATAAATCAACACCAACCTGCGACCTATGAATCACTATCAAAACTTAAACAATAACTGAAAAAAGAAAAAAAACTGTCAAATTATTTTAATAAAGCATGCAATTCAAAAAAAAAAAAAATAACTAGCATTTTTAATTTTCTAAAACTTTGCCAACTGTGAACCAAGCATTATTTAATATATAAATGTATATACATACTAGCGGGTATTGCCCGGCCTTGCCCGTGGGTTCGTTTTGAGCTAAAAATGTTAGATATTACACGCCCGTGGAAAATTGAAATCTATTCATCTTGATTTCCACTTCTATTTAAAAATATGTTCAATGTGCATCGAAAGAGCCAAATATTGGAATCAGAGGTTTCCGCCGTAAGTCGGTGAAGAATAAACTTTTGTTTGTTAAAACTTCGGCCCGCATTCGTCAACCAAGAACGTATCAAATAAATTGTAATTTTCCGCCCAATTACCACTGTTGCGGGTGGAATTTCCCAAATACGTATTCTTAAAGTTCTTATGTAGAGCTTTAAAAATAAGTTTGTTGCAAATCGGACAAAACTTATAACTACACCGAAAAATCGTTGAATCGCATTTTCCACCGAGGAAGCTTCGATTTATAGAAAAATGTGAAAACAAATCTTTGACCCCCAAGTGTGAAACACCCCTCAAATGAATTTGAACAATGATCTTTGAAAATAAGTTACAGGCCGATCAGATGGTAAATAAAATAGTTTCATGCAAACGTTTTTCGCGATTTTTCCACACTTGCGGGTGGAATTTCCCGAAACCCCGTCTTAACGTGCGCCTTCATATACATAAGGGAGCTTCCTAGCTCTTACGGCTTTGGCTGTTCGTTGATCATCAATCAGTCAGTCAGTCAGTCAGTCATTTAGTCAGTCAGTCAGTCATTTAATCACTCAGTCAATCGGGACAAAAAATATTATATATAGAGATATATATATACATATACGATATATATAACGATAAATCTTTCCTTTCTCCTTCTCTCTTCTTTCCTCCACGCACTCTCTCTTTCCCGATTCCTCGTCCTTCCAGCTCCCTCTCTCTCTCTCTCTCTCCACCCCTCCATCTTTCTCTGAGACAAATTTGTTAATTTATTTTCACTTTTTTTATAGTTTTTATCACGCTGCCATTATTTATGGTTATTATTGAAGACACACTTTGAAATGTATTCAACAAATTTGTTTGGTTCCATTTTTTTTAAGATCACAGAATTATTTGCCCTCACCTTTAAAATATATGTATATTCGTCATTACAAAGGTCATTCAATAAACAAAAAAAAAAAATTGGAAAAGAAAAAAAAAGCATGCAATATATTGGTATAAAAACCATGCGAATGCTAAACTGGATTTGGGTCCTCATTTTATTTATATTCACAAATTTTTTACCCGATTCTTTTCACGGAAAATTAATTTTGCGTTTTTCGAACCATACAAACTAGCCTCAAACGCCCCGCACCGTCCCGCCACGCCCCGCACACAATCAGATTGCTTGTTAGCTATTTTTTCTCGGTTCGACATTTTCATTATCGTCGTTTTTTTTTTTTTTTTTTTTGGTAGATGCTTTTCTTTATCTGCCTGGAATTGCATTTGCAATGGCCACAAAATGAGAGGCGCCACCAGCCTCGAATCCGGAGGTTTCGCCCTGCTGATGCATCCAATCGAGCGTAAATTGCACCGTTATATTATTTAATAACGCGCTGCACGTTACCCTTCGACCTGGCCGCGTAGTTGGCCAATTGCACGATAGTTTTTTCCTTGAAAATGCGACAGGCCATATAAATAAATGTGCAGGGAAATTGCCTGAAATGCAGCTGAAAATTGTGCGCCAAAGTTTAACAAGTGGCTTTCCATTGTCACATAACTGAGGTTGAGGTTCACAAGAAAAAGAAAAAAACAGAAAATCATTTTGCATTTCCAATTATTGGATTTTCGCATTTGATGTAAGATGCGTATGGACTAAATATTATTTTTGTAGCGTGAAAATTAAGAAAAATTGAGCACACTTAAAGCTTAAAGCAAAGCAAAAGCTTTACAATTATATTTAAGTTAAGGCGAGAGCTGCTTTTAGATTTTTGTAGTGTGGAAATTAAGGAAAACTGAGCACAGTTAAAGTTTAAAGCAAAGCAAAAGCTTTAAAATAATATTAAAGTTAAGGCGAGAGCTGCTTTTGGATTTTTGTAGGGTGAAATTTAAGAAAGTTGAGCACACTTAAAGCTTTAAGCAAAGCAAAAGCTTTAAAAGCACATTGAAGATAAGGCGCGAGTCGCTTGTGGATTCAAATTAAGAAAATTGAGCACACTTAAAGCTTAAAGCAAAGCAAAAGCTTTAAAATTACATTGAAGTGAAGACGTGAATTTTAAGCTTTGAGCACGAAAAAAAAAACCTTTGAAAGCACATTAAAGCGAGTGAAGCCTTAACTATTGATGGTTCAATTAATGTCTTGTCTAATTATGCAATGAAGATTGTTTAACTAGCATTAATGTTAGCTTATCTTATTGTCTCCATCAATTCACCCCGCACATTCCCTCGTCTTTCTTGCCACCTGCTCTATGATGTTAGGTCGTACAGCACAATTCCATTATAGGCATAAATCCGAAATGCCCAAATGTTAACCCTGTTAAAAATGGCCGCCTGCCAGGTGAACAGACATTTCGCTGGGCTCGCAGTCAAATCTCAGCATGAAATTCATTTCGGATTAAATTAAGGATTAAGGTAACTTTTTCAAAGGCAACGCTCGACCAGCTCAGCCGAGCAACGGCTTCGGGTTCACCAGAACCCAGAACTGTGCTGGCATTTTCATTTTATTACATATTTTATTCCATTTCAGCAGAAGCGCTCTTAAGTATTTAAGTTAATTTAAAAACTTGTTAAGCTCCACATAATGAAGCAATTTTGTGCATTGCAAAGCATTTAGTTTTGCTTTTTATTGGCTTTCGTCGACAGCTAATAATGCTGAACATTAGATGCGAGCTCATTTGATTTTCGGCACTTGCTTGGCGCTTTTTATTAATTAGCCGGGCATTGGGCGCATTGACGGCCCCATTAAATGTTGGCCTCAATGAGCCCTCCGTTAACCTGTCCTAATGATGCTCCACAACAATGCGCCGGCTCAATGATAATGAGCCCAGGCATGTGCAGCTGTAGCTTTGGCTCGTTATGCCTGCCAAATGCGGCTCATTTCATTTCAACAACTCCATTAAAGCAACACAAAGGATGTGCTTACCTGGCAGCGCCGTCTCCTCCCGTCTCCTTTGCCATCTCCCACGGCTGTGATCTAGCCTTCTGTCATTTGGCCAACAGCTGGTGTGGTTTTTGGGGGCCCACAGAAATTAAAAAGCCCCAACAGAAAAATTCAATTACACATTTTTGACCTTTCCTTTTTTGCTTTTTGTGTTTGTGTCACATTTGCCGTTTCTGTGTTTTTGATTTAAATGTTCTCATTCCCCGTTTAATAGGCAAATATGTTTTATGTTTTTCACTCTTTAAGGCCCCCAAAGCTGAAGTTCGCAGTCTTCAAACAATGAAACAGCAAAAAACATTTTGCATACCCTACTAAAGAGGGATACCATTCTTTTGTCACACAATTGCGACTCTATAAAGTTGATGTTTAAATTCTTGATGGGAATTAACAGTCCAGCATTAGCTGTCTCTTATTAAAAACTGTTTTCTTATAAAAATTAGACTCAGCTTACGACTTTACGAAGGTCCTTCATCATATAGTTACCATAGGATTGGTCCGTCGAAAATTAAGTTTTTGTATGAACAACATTTTGTTTTTTTGTAGTTTTTCAGTTTCGATATGCTTCTTAGATATGTACAAGCTTTTGTTAACATCAGATTATATATTGATTGATTTTTTTTTTAAATATTTATTGTATTGAATCATAATTACAAGACAGTTGACTAAGGTGATTGATTGATTGATTGTTAATTTATTTATTTTTTCTTTTTTAACCAAACTTAACGCATAATTCCACCGTCAACATTTCTTACATTTTTTTGCGAATGTCACATTTTTGTCTAATGTTAAAAATGTGGCTTGTACGTTTTTCCATAAGAAAACACATTTTCCACATTTGCCAAAAATGTGACAATTGCCAAAAATGTGACATTTGCAAAAAATGTGACATTTGCAGAAAATGTGTGCATTCGCCCCGAATAATTCGTTTTTTGCGATGATTTATCGAATTTCGTTGGAAAGTATCATTACCTTAAATAGCTGATATAAAGGCAAGCGGTAACTTTAAATTATAATTTTAAATTTAAAGATTTAAGATTCCAATAAATGGAGTCCCTACTTCGAGTTCGTATTATTTGACTTTTGAAAGGAAAGTCGCTTTGGTAAATCTAATCAAACCGATCAGCTGTTTATTTAAATGTTACCGACATGTTGCCAATGGAACCACAAAATGTGAAGTTTTGTAAATGTAACATTTTTGAGCATAGTGGAATTAGGCTATTACAAAATGGAAACTTCACAAGTCACCTCATATATCTGCTAAGCCGGGAGCCACAATTTCAGGAGGGTATTCAATCTTCAGCATGCCGAAGATAGTTGTTCAGACTTGTTTTATTTTATTTTTGCTACTGCCAGGAAAGTTTTAAGCGCAACGTGGCGTATGAGTAATGCCATTTGCAAGTTGAAACTGAAGAGTTGCATGCGACTAACTATTGCAATTATGCCGGCAACTCATGCCCCGGCCCGCTGCCGGCTAAATGAAGTGAGTTCTAATGAGTTGTAAACTATCCAAAAAGGCAGCCCAGCGAATATATCCACAAGGCTATGTATGTAGGCATGCATATGTCGAATGCTTTTCGGATGCTCATAAATCTTCATTCGCGACGATACGTGCGGCATCATCATCATCATCATCGTCATCATCATCATCATCATCATCATCATCTTTGGTGTTAGTCTTAGTCTTCATCTTTGGGCTTGGGCTTGGGTTATGGTCTTTCATCTTTGGCTGCCATATACATTTGTTTCTGGCGCCTTTGTTGCCGGCTTTGTGTCGCTTTATGCGTCATTTATCATGCGAATCTCTTTACTTGTCA